ATGAAACATTCCCAGTCTGGTCCTTGCCCAAAAGTGAGCTCCTTAAGGGAGGTTGAAGGTAGGAAGAATCCAGCTGCCTTTTTTGGAAGGGAGGAGAAGAGGAGAGTGATGTTTTCTGTATTTGGCTTCGAAAGCTCCTGGCCCTGTCCACCTGCGCAGGTCGGGGTTATCCCAAGGACACAGGCCTGCTCTGGCTGCTGTTCCATTTCTCCTTTCTGTTTTAAAAGCATTAGGGAGTTGCATCAAAAGCTGACCAGAGGATGTCAGGATTGCACCCAAGAGTGCAAAGTAACTGAGTTCAGGTTGCACGTGGACTCTTAATGCTCTCCCTTTGGGCATGTGCATGACAATTGCCCCTGGCGTGCAACATGCAGCTGACACACACAGCCCACTTGGTTGGGGGTTTTTTGCAGCAACATTAGCCCTTTATCTGTTTCATCCACTGTTTTGCACTTGAAGAAGGCTGCTGGCAAGGGGTCTTGGTCTAGCAAACATACCCACCAGAAATTTCACTTGCTTAGTTTGAATAGGGATGTGAATGTTAGTAAAGTTACTAACAGGCTTAGGTGTTTACTGGGTTGGCTCTTCAGTTATTGAAAAGAGAGAAAATAATTTCCTTGCAACACATCTCCCTCTAAGCTTGTTTGTATCATGATAGCACCAGCAGGCCCTCAGTTGTGGTCAGGGCCATGCTATGTTAAATGCCAGATAAACACAGTAGCAGACGGTCCCTCCAGCAGAGTGCTTACGGTTTAAATAGTCAGACTAAGTGTGCCAAGAGAGGGGAAAAAAAGGTCCAAAGAGGTGAACTGAAATGCTTACAGTCACACAACAGGTCAGCGGCAGAGCTGACGGGAGACTTCAGGTCTTTAAGGAGCCCTGGCCTCTAGACTATGCTGCCTTCCCTAAGCTAATGAAGATGTGCCTGAGTAGCAGGGGTCAACCTTTTTGCCAGGTGTGCCACCAGTTAGTCCTGCACTCGTTCCAAGTGCCACTGCAGTCCCTTTCCCTTACCCGATCTGATGCTCTGCTTCTGCTGTCTGTCTTATCTGCCACTTTTCTGCCTGTCCCCTCCCCAGCATGTGTGTACTGCACACAGAGGCTGCCCATGTCCCTTACAGCACCAGTGCTACAGGTTGGCCACCCTGCACTAGACGACTGCTATAAAGAGTGTACACTAGTGAAAGAAATGCACAAGATGCTGCACCTCCGAGATTCCAGAACTACCTGGATGATACCGTGGCTTGTGTAATAGTACAATTAAATACCATTGTGTAGTTAGTACGTATCCATGTGATGATGGAGTTCAAAGTATATGGGCAACCTTCATTCCCTATTTAATTACTGTTGATGGAATAGATCTTATATCTCTCGGCATAGGTATAATCATCACTTGGTTGCCTCTTTCCTTCTTGCCATGATCGCATCATGAAAAGCCCAAGGTGGAAATGGATAAAAAGTATTTCTAAAAAAAGAAACTGGAAAAAATGTTTAAATCTTGCTGGTTTAAATGATATGTGCCCAAGAGGGAGCATGTGGGAGCTGGCTCCTTCCTTCTCTAACCTGTTTCTTACTTTAAATACATTTGTATTTATTTAAGGGTATAACTGCACACAGGGCCTTTATAAAGAAAGACGCCAGTGTAGGCGTGTGACTCAGCCCTATGGCTTTGTCATTAAGTTGCCCATATGCCACATGCATTTGAGTCTGTGCTTAATGAAGGGAGTCTCCATAATGCATGTGCTTTGATGCACTAACCCACTGTTGGCTTTACACACTTGTGTGCCAGTCCTCAGTTGCTTTCAGACCACTCATTTGCTTTCCTGGTATGTGGTAGTAAACATCCTTTAGCAATCCGATTATTGCCAGGAGGAATAACCGCCTCTGTGCAGTAGTGGATTTCTTAAGTATTTTGGCATTTAAACCTACAAATGCAGGTTGTCCCTTTGGCTTTGAAAGGAAGCTCAGCAGGAAAGGAGAGAGAATCCCTCTAAACTCCTGGTATTTACGCAGCTCGTACTCCTCTTGCCACCGCATACTTAGGTCATCCCTGCAACCTATGGATGCCCCTCAGTGCTAACCACGTGCCTGGATAGCAATGGATATAGAAAGCAGGTACCAGGTGTAATTCAAAACAGAGTTTCTAATACTCTAGCAGTGTTACCTCTAACCTGTTACTTAAGTAGAAGGAAGCAGTATAGGGCCACTTCCAGCTCAGCCTCCCCCAGTCTGTGATTGAACAGATCATATCTATCCCTCCATACTTACAATCACCTAACATCCCTGTGGCAACTGCTTACATGGAAACATAATCAGGAACGCATTTGTTACTGTTTTCGGTGTGCAAAGTGTCACGGCCTCCTAAAAAGAATTGCACTGTCTATTTATGCTCTGAATTTCATTTACGCCTCTCTTCTGGCACAGAACTCGGAGCTGGAAACTCAGCCAAACTTGTGCAATCTGATCACTTTCCAGGGATCTCTAGCAACTACTCCATGGGTCACAATTTGAGAACTCCCCCCAAAACAGGCAAAAGACTGGGAGCCAGGAGCTCCTGCCTGCTGTTCCTAGCTCTGCTACTGACTTGCCAGGTAGCCTTGGGAAGTCCTCTAAGTCAGTTTCTCTCTCTGTGAAATGGGGGCTGTCACTCAGTTATCTCACAGGTTTAATATTGCGTGAGAGTTTGAAGGTGTCAACGCAGAACTATGTTGTAGCCAAGTTAAACCCTGAAAAATAGGGTTTATAATATTTATATCAAGAAAAGATGCTAATCCTAACTGAGTAATAGCAGCAAAGACACATGGCCATAATTATCAAGGCTTATTTCTTGTTTGCATTGGTCGTGTTCTTGTGTGTTTGATCTCATAAAATGCAAAATCCTTGGAGTTCAAATGTAAGGTCAGGCTTTAAAAACATCCCTCTTCCAACAATACATTGAATGCATACTTCCTTTGTTTAAAGAAATATACTGTGCAGCATATGTAAACAAGAAATCCAGTTAAGACCAGCATGCACTGCTGTGAATATCCAACACGCCCAGGCACAGCAGGAGACAGGAGTTATGGGGAGGCAGATTCTCTGTGCCTTGGGTTGTATGTGGATTTTTTAGAGGAGGGGTATTGTAGAGGCAAATTGAATGTGGAGTGAGAGAAACATTTGTGCTCTGCAAAAATCAGCCAGTAAAGAAACGTGAAGCAGTGCTACCTTCAGGATACATGAAAGGGAGGGGTGGGGTGTTGTTTTAAAATGAACAGTCAATCCAGTGTGCGCTACCAAGGATGTGTGGAATAGGTAACATAAAGGAAAGACCACTTAAACCAGCAGGCCCCAGTGGTGGTGGTGGTGGGGTGCTAAAGAGTCCCAAAAGATGTCATGACAATGATTCTAATTTGTGGTGTGGCTGATTATTTATGTATTTTTTTGAGCCTCCATTTCCCTTTCTATAAGCAGGGGATGACACTCACCTGCCTCATGGGGAGATTTGAGAAAGCGCAAACAGTGCTGGGATATGTGCATTTGGGACAGTGCTGTAAAGCAACAGCCTTTCAATGCTAGAAAAGCAAATTCAATCAGGAGGGCTGCTCTGATGCTTGCTCAGTAAGCTCCGGGACTGTAGGGGCCCTCACCAACCCAGGCACTAAATAAGGAGGGGGACTGCCAGCTGCTCTCTTCCAAGAGAGGTTATAGACTCAGTGTTAGTGAATGTTAGAAAGGAGATGCAGGACAGGCCCTTGCTTTGAGCTTCAGCCGGAGAGAGCCAACCAAGATGCACATGTAGAGTTGAGGCAGTCACCTGTACAGTCTCTATCCCCAAGCACAAGATGAGTCTTGGGTATATGGAGTAGCCAGGTGCCCTGGTAGGATGGGCATCTCTTACCATTGTGCATCTAATGAACACCAAACAGTTCCTTTCACCTGTAGATAATCACCATCAATTTGCAAGCATCCTCAGTCTAATGGTAGGAAAGCCTGCCTGTCTGCAGTTGCGAAAGTTTCTATTTTAATAATTTTGTCATAGATGTTGTACTTTCAGAGATTTACTGAGAGCTGGTATGGCAACCAGAAAGACTGCATTGATTTTTTTCCCCTCTCCCCTTTTTTAATTTTTAAAATCTACTCCATACAGATTAACTAACTTTGCTCAATATTTAATGTTCCAGTTGCTTGATATGGAATGGTAAGCACTCTGCTAAATGGACCAAAGCACGTGCTTTTCACCACAGCTCTAAGTGCCTCTGCATCCAGCTCTGCTGCAGTGCTGGCTTCTAACTCCTCCATGAATCACAGCATCTGTGGGTGGCCATCCTGTGGTGTGTGTGTCACAAGTGGCACAGGAAGCCAGTGTGTGGCAGGCGGCAGAGTGGGGAGAAAACAGGCAGCACAGCAGTAGACAGGGCAGCAGATTGGGCAAGGAAAGGAGATCAGAGTGACACTCAGGGAGGGCTAAGTACCCCATGCTTACCAGAAAGATTGTACCCCACTGAGTCCTTCTAAGAAAAATGGGACTATTTTTCCATATATGCGCAGAAGTGGAAGAAATCTCTGCTGTCTTTGCCCTCTGCTGAGTTAGAATCAGCACCCTAACATGTCCTGTAGGGACCAGATGGTATCTCAGAGTGAAGATGAGGTTAGGTATTTAACAGGATGGATTTTTTCTCAGGATTAAATTGATTACATTTGGAGCTAGGCAAAGTATAGCATGTTTGTAGGAACCTGGGGGAAGAAAGGTGTTTGTGGGGGTGGGGGAGGGTCGGTAAAACAGAGTAAGGACTGTTACTTAAACTCAAGTGTGCATGTTCCAAACTGCACATGAATCTTCTGTAGTGGCCTTGGATAAGCGTCCTTCCTGAAAATGTTCATCTTATTTTTAAATGAGAGGGATTTAACTAGAGCTTGGCAGGGGCTGTAAGTGAATATGCAGAACAAATCTGGGCATCCCCCCTGTCTTGGCTAATCTGAAGAGCCAGGTGGGCCAGCAGACTTCTTTCTGTCTGTGTGGATATGGCTTGTCTTTTGTTTCTCTAATGCCCAAGAGAAGCAGACGAGTCAGTTATGTCCTATACTATAGAAATGCCATTTGACAAAAACAAATGGCTGCATTTCATACTCAAGAATATCAGTATCTGGGTCAGAACCAAGAGGCTCGGTAGGTTTATGGTTTAGAGGACTTGAGAGAGGAGCAAACGTAATGAAGTGTTTAGGTGCTGGGGATAAAAGCAAGCAGCAGAAATTAGAACCCACGCTAAGGCTCACAGCATCGAATACTTTGTTGTGGGGCCCCACTGGCTCTGTGGGTTAGGAAGGGGAAACCCTTCTGACAGCACATGCCAAGAGTTTGCTCTTGAACATGTATTCAAGTAAATCTTAGCAATACTTCACAACACTGGGTACTTCAATCCCTCCTTCAGATTAGTTGCGGTAGAGAGCTGCGTAAAGTGAAGAGGTGGCATCCAGTTCAAATAGTTGTCATTAAAGTACTCTGTATTTTAGATTTATCCCAAAAACAAAAGCTTCAGGATCTCGGGTGAGGACCATTTTTACTAGCTTCACCTTTCCTTCATGAGAAAAGGGAAGGGAATGATTTTGTGATAATCTCTGGAGGACTCCTTAGCCCCGGTGATTCTCAACCAGGGTACTGTGGCCCCTTGGGTGAAAAAAAATGAATGAAAACTAAAAACTGGCATTTTCTGAAAAGGGCTCATGTCTAAAAAGGTTAAGAGACTGCTGTCTTAGCCTAATGAGAAGAATATGGGAATGTTTTCAGGGACATCTTCCTTTTTAAATATATTTTACTTTCTTTGCCTGTAAACTAATCCCGTTAAATTTGCACCTGTATCCTTTGTCGCTCTCTGTAACTTATGTTTCTACCAAGGATATTTGGTGATATTGTACATAGAGCAGACAGACCCTTTGTTTCACTCCTACATGATTCTTATGAAAAGGTAATTTAAATTACAAATATTCAAAGCATCACTGCCATAGATAAAAGAAGTAAATAAGACTTCTAGTAACATTAATGCACAGCTGAATTTAGTACCTAGGCCTTCTCTTTTGTCATATATCTCAACTGTGTTACAAAATAAACTTCAGGTTTTACCATCATGACCTGCAAAGATCTTCTCTCTCCTCTCCTGAAGGTGGCACTCTAGCTGTGGATGTGAGGGTATCATTCATGCAGCTTTATTTGAGAGGGACTTGACATCTATGTTAAATGCTCTTGATATCTATGTTAAAGTTGTTGTATTACTCTGCCTGCATTTTTCTGACTCCTTTAAACCAGTGAGTTTAATTCCCTCCACAGACTTATCACTGATCACGCTTCAACAGTCTGGGAAGCTGCATTATGCAAACAGCACTATTCCCATTTTACAGATGTGTAAGGTGAGAGGGGAAGTCATTGCCCTTCCTCCCGCCAAGGGAACTGTCAGATAGAAGGCAGGTGTCCTGATCCCAGATCCTCTTTCTAACCTATGGATAACACAGCTTCTTTTATAGCTTCTAGCTAGCTGTGTGTCCTGTGTTTCATATTGCCTCTCACAATATTCCATATGTATATCTTCTGCCATTGAGTCTCTCGGTATTTCCTAAACTCTTCTGTTAAAGTCTTCCCTTTTCTCTTTCCTGCTCCAATCCCTCCCACCTTTATTTTGGTTTTTCTTGTGCATTTCATTTGTTCTAGGTCACACTGTTAGCCCACTCTTGTACTGTCTTGTCTTGTCACTGTCCTAACAGGAACAGTCTTTTAGCTCCCCCTCTTGATAGAGCTGTGCTAATGCAGTCAGCCTTCAAAATATTTCCCTGCGCTTTCATAGGTTAAGACCCAAAGGGTCTTAGGATTCTCAGCTCCTGAGTAACACTTGGAAGGTATGATCCATTACAACTTGTGCATGTCAAAATAAGTAGTCATTTTCAAGATTGGGATTAAGCATTAAGAATTTAACAGATTCAATTAATCACTTTGCTGCTAAAATGTATTATTTTGATATGTGTACCTCTACAAATTATTATATAGAAAATGCAGGCAAATGTCTCTGTATTGCAAGACAGCCTAAGAAGGTTTATAATCCAAGTGTTCTGAATTAGAGGTGTTAATCATACTTTCTTCTGATCCTTTTCATTTGTCTAACAAGTGCCATTGCCTCAACACAATATACTGAGATGGTTCATAATATTATTTAATGCTGGGGACAACCTCAACATTAACCCCAGGCACCTATATCCTTTGTCACTTATGATTCCACCATATTTCTATTTTGAAATAGAATAATTATAAATAAATGGAAATGCAGAAACTTTGTCATGAAATTCAGCAGAAAAAAAATTGTTACGCTCTTTTTCTGTTTATGCACTTGAACCTTATGAATCTTTGGGCTAATATAGGGACACCTAACTGTGAAGCTGCCTTGACCCTTCACGCTGTCCAGGCCAAGTGAAATGTGCAAAGAATGAATAGAAATCTAAAAAGATAAATAGACACGAGTCTTTTTTTTTTTAAGTCTAGTTTTAATAATGTCAATTTAGTAAAGCATGAAGCTTTAAAAAATAAATAACCCCAGCTGGGTGTTCTTGGTTAGCTCATTTCATAGGATGGGTTTATCTCTTGCCGTGCTATGAGTTGATAATGATGTCTTTGGAATGTGAGTATTTCAGAGAAACAGAAGTCTACTGAATTTGATAAGCATACCAAAAAGGATTGTCCATTGATTTCCAGGACTACAGGCACAATCTCATTGCTCTAATCAGCATAAAATTGGAGACAAACTTCAAAAGCTCCTTCTTTATTCAGCAGTAGCTGAAAGCGCAGATATAGAGCTAAAATTTAACAAGGTTAATACAGGCATTGCAGTTGGATGAGCAACTGTGCATATAACAAATAACGTTCTGTAGTGTGACCAGGCAGGATGTATGTTACATGTAAAGTGTGCCCCACTGAGCAGACTGACTCCTCTATCAAAGCACTCTCAAGCTGTCTCCTGCAGATGAATGAGAAAATGCCTCAGCCTACATTAATGAACGAGAAAAGTATCTTGTCGAAATCCAAACTGCTGTGCTGTAACTCTCAAAGTGTTTGGCAGTCTTAAAGCCATGGGTTTCAAGTGATTATGCAAGAGTCATCTTTAATATTTAAAAAAATAGCCCTTATTTGCAAAGAGAAGCTTGGAGGAGGGGACTCTGAAGGCAAACGAAGAACACTTCAATAATTACAGAGTTAGTGTTCGTTTTCCAGAGCCACCCTCATGACTTTGTTGCCTGATTGATTTTTATTTTATTTATTTAGTGTAGCTTTTGCTTGGCAACACTGGTCTTAGTTCCGGTAGTAAACCCACCCCCCATGACATCCAAGCACAACCTGCTTCTTAGCATGTTCTCTGTTCCCCACACCTTTCCCCGTTATAAAAATTGGCTCCAAACTGGCCCAAAACAGTACATTTCAAAGGAGGTCAAGGCCTTCTACAGGAATTATCCTGCCTTTGGCTACAGTATCCTGGGGTAGATTCTGATTTCAATACCTTTGGTATGAATCAGGAGTAAAGCATACAGTGAAATAAAGGGGATTATATCAGTGTGACTGAGGTCAGAATCTGGCTTAAATTTTTTGGAGTAGAGGTACCAGGGTCTAATAATGGTTCCCTGTGCATGCTTTGTGCATTTTTGGTGCTTCCTGCACATGGATTTGTCATGTTGCTTTTGTTTTGGCTGTGTCTGTGGAGGATTTTTATAAGGCAGAATATTTCTCCCTGCAGTAGCAGTGACTTCAAGATGAAAGTATTGTATGCAAATAGGTTAACAAGACACAAACGAGAATTGACTAATGCCCTTTGCAGGAGAGCTTTGATAACCGGAAAATGGAAGGCTGGCTGATCTTGGAAACTCTAAACCTAAGAACAATGAGAAGCTTCATCGGGGCTAAAGGAGAGGGGGTTGGGCTGGTAAGTCAGTCAACCTTAAGGAAACAGTTGGCAAGGAATCGGTACCTGCTCCTCTTGTGCGAACGTGATCTATATCACTACAGGGTGTGTTGTTTGTCCCACTGATCTTATTGCTCAATCCACGCTCTGCACTGTATGGTTTAAAAAGCCACAGAGTGTTGAAGAATGCAAAGTATCTGCTAAGCAATGTTGCCTCTTTTTCAAGCCTGACCAGCTCACCTAGGCATGGCCTAGACATGCAACCCTGTAACTTTGTGCTCCAGTCCAGGCTAAGATGGTTTCTTTGTATCTCAACCCAGGATGATACCAGGGGCTCTAAATAACCACATATATCAATAAAATTTGATATTTTGATACAGAAAATCTGATTTGCCTAGGGCAGCTATGGATAGATAGTCTCAAAAGCTCCGCTACAGGCCGTTAAAGGGGCCGTGAATTAAACATGTAGTCTTTTTTTTTTTTAAATGTGTATGGGGGAGGGGAAGTTAAGAAACTAACCTGTGGGTCTCTTGTTATAAAGGTTACTGAAAATAATTAATTATTTTAACTTCCAGTTTTATTTAAAGCTTCCACTGCACCTTCTGTAGCTAAGCCCTAAAGTGGCACTCGGGTTCTTCACAAGGGAAAGTGGAAGTGATTGGGACTCAAAAGTGAACTTGCCAAGAGCTAGAAAGTGAAAGCTCCCTTGTCCCTGCCTAATAAAATGCAAAAATGAAACACTTCAACAATTAAAAGAAAGATTTGGGGCCCGGGCAGACATTCCTAGGGCCCAGTCTATGATCACGCAATTTTCTTTAAGTCACATGATTGTAGATCAGATGGTCCCAATTGTACAAATGTTCTCCAGTGCCAGGAGCTGTGCTGGGAATGCAGTCCAAATAAGATGGTGTGGGGGGGCAGGGTTGGCAGGATTGCGGGGAAGCCTAAAGAGTCCACGGGGGGCTTGGTTGGTCTATGGAGGGGGGTTGTCCATCTGAGGGTGGTGGGGTCAGGAGGCTAAAAACAGCCTGGTCAGGCTTGGGGGGGTACAAAAAGTGCAACCCAACGGCTATGGCAAGCAGCTGGACATTCGCAGCCCCAGGGCTGCACTCCGAACATGTACAGTAGTCTTGGAGATGGGGCTAACCTGTTCCTGATCTAACTTAGTTCGCCTGAGGAGGTGCACTAAGTTAGATCAGGTCAGCCATTTTTTGCCTGATATAACTTCCCCAAACATAGGTACAGATCAGCACTTAGATCAGCCTAACCTAACATCTTCACTTACCCTTGGATACTGCTATGACAGGCACCATAGAAATAACATGAAGTCCTCCTCTTAAGAAAGAGAGCAACATGCTGTTATTAGGGAAAAAGCATGATGTGGAGAGGCTGTGTTTTACTAAATTTGGCAACAGCCCATAATCTCTTTAGTCAGAGAAACTGAATAATCTAACAGCTTCATCATAATGAGTAAAATGTCCACGTTGCAGTGTATCATTGAGACAGCATTAACTTATATTTGACCAATAAAAGTTTCCATTATCTTCTTTAGAGTTGTTAAAAAACCCTCTTCAACATTTGTTCTCCAAGCATTGCTATGTTGAGAGTTTAAAAGTGGGATAATGTTTATTGTCTTTAATGCAAAGACATGCAAAGGCTAAATCAATAGTGCAAAAGCAGGGAAGTAAATAGTAAATCTTGTCCTTTAAATAATATAAGGAGTTCTTAGGATGGGTTAAGTCCCCTACTCACTGCCTTTTGCTTTCTGCAGTCATTTACAGAGTGAGTACAAAGCAATAGTATACTAGATTTTCAAGCTGCCTATGTATCTGCTTTGTGGAGAAGAGGTTCAGTATAAGGCAAGGTAGTGGGGTTGTTATGACCTCCAGTAAGCAAAGAGGGTAGAGTTAGTGCCCTAAAACACAGCTGGCCTACTTAGTTGTGATGGACATCCAGAGCCCCATCCTACCTGCATGTGGAGGCAAGCCCTGTTCTGTTCCTCCAGAGAGGACATAGGGTTGCAGTCAACCATAACATTTGCGCATCATAGGTGAGGGTGTTGTCAAGTTCCTGGTGATGCTTGATTGCTCATTTCCTGGGGGCAGCATTTCTGAACCCAATTGGCAAGTTCCATTTTATTTTAATCTACTTCTCTTTCATTAAAATGGCACTAGGTAGCTATTACTGCACCTCCTGGGCCTGCAGTGGCTTTGTGTGTGTCACAGGACAGCTGCCTGGAGGCAGGGCTGGATTAACACATAGGCAAACTAGGCACATGCCGAGAGTCCTGAGCTACAGGGGGCACCATCCTTCCCTCCGTGGTGGTGGTGCGAATGGCTCCATCCGCCTCCCTTCCCTTCCTCTCCCCTTCCCTCCACTGGCCTCACCACTGCCACGGCTGCCTCCTAGCAGCAGCTCCGAGCCGTGCTCCCTGCAGGCGGCAGTGCCAGAGTGGGGTCAACCAGCCTAGGGCCCATGAGTTTGTTTGCCTAGTGCCTACTAGAGGGTTAATTCAGCCCTGCCAGGAGAGACTGCATCCTTGCTACAGGCAGAACAGCTGCCAAGGCCAGGATGTGGACAAGCTGGGGTTTCATACTGCAGACCCTTAATTGCATCTCTGACCCCACTGAATTCATTGAAACTACTTGGTTGAGTACAATCAGACCCTCCACAATGAAGCCTCTTAGCACACCAGTATATGTGGGAGCATGAATGACGCATGCCCCCGGCAGATGGGGGGCACAGCGGTGGTAAACAGGAACTCCTGTGGACGCCACCGGCGCTGTTGGTGGCGGGGGTGGCGACCACCCACAAATACTGCTGGCAGCGGTGGCAGCAGCCAGCAGGGATCTCTGACTACCTGTAGATGCCACCAACAGTGTCAGGGGAGGGAGGTGGGAGTGGGAGGGTGGCAAGTAGTGACCGCCTGCAGGTGCCACCAACAGTGTCATCAGTGCCTTTTTGTAGGGAGTTCACCACGCTCAGGGGATGTGTATGCACCTGCGTGCACCCCCTACACATCGCCCCTATGTTGGAAAGAGTAGGCAAACATCTCCATTCTACAGACTGGGAAACTGAGACGCGCAGCAGAAAGAGTCAGAAGTGAAGTCCAGGAATCCTGAGCTTGGGTCTTATTGCTTCCTGCAAGACTGGTTTTCCAGGAAAAGATATCAAATTAGGGGTCAGCAACGTTCTGTGGTGGCAGGTGGGAATGGCCCAGCTCAGGACTTGGGTGAGTCACAGCCGGGACCTAGCTGTTGCCACCACTGCTGCTTCTCCCTGCCGCTGCTTCTTTTCACTGCTCAGCTGTGGCATGGCACAGGAAAGCTCTCAGCCACCTGGCTGCAGCACAGTATGGCACAGTGTGGTATGAGTAAAGCCCCTACTGCCAACCACAGCCAAAGCCCAGATCCACACACTGGATCCAGTGTCTCTGGGGAGCATGGATCTGACCCATGGGCCATATGTTGCTGACCCCTGAGTTAAATGAAATGCCTGACTTCCTCCATATCCATAGTCTTGAAACAGAAAAATTTTAGCACAGGGCCCACCTCATCATCTGCTTGTGGGTTTTTGGGTTTGTTTCTAACAAGGAGGACATCATCTGGGAAGCTGGAGACTATGTAAGCCCTGCTGGGGAAGAGAGGTACATGGGCTGCTTCCTGCCAGCTCAGAGCCTGTAAGCTTCATGGGTGTCACTGTGTTTCAGGTGAAAGTAGATCAGGCACCTGCATCATGCATGCATCTTCACAGTGTGTCTGCCTGGATCCCAACGTGGGACAATTGCTTTGCTGCAGTTGTTCTCTAGGTGATGTCTGGTCCCTGTGCTGCATGAGACCTGACTGGGCTTCCAAGAACTCTAGATGCACATACTCCAAGCTTGAGGTATTGTTGGAGGTGAGGGAAACTCTGCTTACGTACCAGAGCTCAGTATCCCACTAGGAGCCACCTTCTCCAGTAGGTGCAGAGTAGTTGAGAATTGGGGTGGCCTTTCTGCAGCCAGACTCAGGCTGAATGTGTAGGTAGGGGACCAGGATCCAGTGTAGGTTTCCATCTTGAAAGAATAGCCTTTGAGTAGCCTGTAATGGTCTTTGACTGCTGAGGCAGTTCAGACTATAATGGTTTCCCATGCTCTTTTTGCCCCATGTATGCTCACTAATCCAGGTTGCCAACAGGGTCTCTTCCACTGTCTGCTGTAGAGGATGCTGATCTCCCAGGTGCACCCTGCTGAAACACCACCTGAGTTTTGCCCTTAGCTCCCCTTCATCCCCCAGCCTGCTATGTTCCACTGGCCATGACAGCCACAGTCATGGAAGAATTCAGGGCAAAATAATGCCATCCCACAGCACGGATCTAGAATGCTGTGCTTGAACAGAAAGGAAGGGATTGCACAGGGGTTTGTCTGAATAGTCCGGGGAGGGCTAGGTCTTGCTTTCAAGAGCTGCCCAGTACAGCAGGTACTTTCTCATATAACTTGATTTCTTCCTATGGTAACTGAAAGCTGTTAATCAATGACTTCAATAGCCCAAGGCAGCAGAGCTGGCCAAATGTGTTCTAACCCAAGTGCAGGCTCTGCCGAGCAGCCTTGCCGTCTCTCACATCCTCTTAACATGGGCATGAATTTGTTGTAAACAGGCTGGTGAGCTTGTTTGAGCAATCACATTTTCATTGCAGCTTAGCAAGATCTCCCACCCAGTTGTTTATTTGTAAAACAACTGGGCAGGAGATCTTGAAAAAAACAGATAATTTTTCATTAAGGAGTGGCGTGTTTCAATGAGAGCCCTGGCTGGGTGTGATGTTAACTAGTCCCTTGTGGCAGAGAAGCACGGCTGCATATACTGTGGGCCAGCATTTAAGAGAGAGAATGTAACCCTGCCTGTGGATCATCTGAGCCAGAAAGGATCCTCTGAACTGGAAAACTTCTGGCTGTGCCTTCAGCCTGTACTATTTGGTACCACTGTGGTATTTAAGCACTTAGACTCATAGAAAGGACCTCAGGAGGTCACATCTAGTCCAACCCCCTGCTCAAAGCAGGACCAGCCCCAACTAGATCATTCCTGCCAGGGCTTTGTCAAGCCAGGCCACTTGCCAGACTTCAAGTCCAGACATAGTTCTGTTGGTGTCATTAAAGCTGCTACTGTGCGGACGAGGTGTGAGCTGAAGTACGCTGCTGGGGTAGGCCCAAAACATGGGTCTGTAGCAGTGTTCTGAGCTCAAGGAAACGTCTGAAATCTGCTTTGTAACATGCAGCATGCAGAGCATAACCAGTGTTTGTGCCATTAGTAACACAGTCTACTCTGTGGATGATTTCAAGTATGGTCTAAATGGGGACTGTGGATTCTTACCCCGTTACGTGGATTAACTTTTGTGACCCCTTGGTCCCTATGGGTTTATTGCTTCTTTGCCTCTCCCCACGCTGCTCTCTTTCCCTCCTTCCCTTCCCTGTCTTTTGAATTCAGTTCACTCTATTTGATACACTGCTCTGTGCATGTCCTTTCACAGCACCTGATGAATTGAGCTCAGGCTCATGAAAGCTCATACTGTATATTTCTGATTTAGTTAGTCTGCAAGGTGCAAATCTACCCTGCCTTCTGTATAAACAGCCAGTGACGTTATGATG